GCAGCCACTGCAGCACGAGTTTAATCCCTGGCCAGGGAGGTGACCCACACAGCATGGCAGACCTCTCTCTCCTGACCTTCCCGTTGCTCCCCTCAGCAGTGTATTTCAGTTAATATGCCTATTCTGCTCCCCACTCTGTCTCTGGTGAATCCTCTCACCCCCTGCAGCTCTGGCCTGTACCCTAGTTCTGTATGTATAAATAAATAGTGCTTAAAAAAAAAAAAGAGTAGGTTCAAATACCAAGAAATAAATTCCTAAAAACATCAAGAACACCAACTTGTACCCATTTCAGAAAAGACCGACCAATTTTCATAATCTCATTAACAGAAATCATATTCAAAAGGTAGTGGGCTAATTTCAATATAGGCCTAGAGAACAAAGTTAACACTTACTGAGTACCTACACTGTGCCTCATAATTCTCCATTTCTATTGCTACCAGCTTACTTCAGGTCTGCATTATCTCTGTCACCTGGATCATTTTTAATAGCATCTTTTCTAATTTTCTTTCTCCAATCCATCCTCCACACTAAAAACCAAAGTGATTTTTCTAAAATGAAAATTTCATTTTTTCGGTCTTTAGCTTAAAATCATTAAGTAGATCACACAGTCTATAACAAAAGGTCCAAATTCTTCTATGACTTGATTTCATTCTAGCTTTGCTTTCACCTCTTTCACACCTACCATTCTTTACACTCCTATTTTTAACTACTTGTTACTCATAAAACTTACCTTGCTGTTCTATGTACTTTTTTTTTTCTTCTGCTCTTCCTCTTAAAAGACCTTCACCTTCTGCCCTCCTAGCAATACAACATCCACAAACTTGATTTTCAACATCAATTCAAGTCCATCTAATGTCAACATCCCATACCAAACTTTTCCAAACATTTCCTTAAAAACAACAAATATTTCTTCTATAGGATCCATAACTTTTACGATATTTACTTGCTTAAAGTATGCTTATTATTAAACTTTAGGCTCTTTGAGAACAGGATCACAGTCTTACTTATTAATGTACTTTTAGTAACTAGAATTATAATAGACACGTTGTAGACAACTGAGAAGTTTTAACCAACAAATGATAAAAGAAGCTTCATTTTTGGGGGGTTTATTTTCTTCACAGCCTAGCAATTAAAAGCTACAGTGTATCAATAGTTACTGAGTTCCATCATTTATTTTCTTGAAATACCTGATTCACTCCACAATCCTCAATTTTACTGAATTCCATTTATTTTCTTGAAATACCTGATTCACTCCACAATCCTCAATTTTACTGAATCCCATATTGATCAAACATTCCTATTCATAAACTTAAAAAAATACTATTTTAAATTGATTTACTTCTCATGTTCTCCGTAAGTTGGCCCAAACATATCCATCCATTATCTACTCTTTACCTGGCCGATTTGTGCATCATACTTCAAGCCTGGTACATAAATTTTTACCTTCTTTTGTCCAAATAATTTCATGTTATATCCACATTTCCTTCATTTCTACTGCAACTAAATACTAAACATCGTTCATAGGCCAGTCCTTTCTTTTTTTTTTTTTTTTGTCAAAACTACACCTGAAAGCTCTATGTTCTGTTTTTAACCATGTAGTATATCAGACTCACTCAGTACTAGCCACATCAGTACTTCATTCTTGTGTTTTTAAGAATGTTACTTTTGTCTTCGCAAGTGGACTACCACTCCTTTGGGTAATCTTATATATCTTATTGCACTTTTAATCCCTAACTGTTCTTAGTTATTGTAATAACTGGAAAGGCATCATGGCATAGTACCATGTTTTTAAAACTTTGATTTTAAAACATAAACACCTTATTAAATTAAACCTTATGTTAAAGTCCAAATACATACAAAAGATAAAAGGAGAGTGTTACCTATTTGTTTATCCACATGCTAGCTAAAAAGCACATCTGTAGATTTGGTGCTCCTTAGAACGCCATTTGTTGACTATTGGGTTCAAATTCTACCTCTAACACACTAACCGAGTTTTCTTAGGTAATGACAAACTCTGAATTTCAGTTTCCCACAATAATGAATATAGGTGAGAAAGGCCTTGGTAAATTCTAAAACTTCCTATAAATTTGAGGAATTTAAAACTTCGTAAGCCCTGAGCTGAACTATTATACAATTTTAACAATTATACCATACAATAGTACTGACAGTGAGAACATTCTAAATTTTAAAGTCCGACTACTTAAAATCATTCTAAATGTCATTCAATTTTAAGACTCCCCGACCCTCTGCTTTATTTCTTGTACTTAAAATTAACTTTCTAATCTCCATGGAGGGGCAAACTACAGTGTAATGATTAGGATATATGCGCTCAAGTTGGGCAGACTTCGTCTGTAGGCCAGTTTGAGTAATCAGGTATATAAACTGAGGTAGATACACTACCTCTCAAAAATGAAAAATAGAACTGAATTAAGGAAGATAGTCTGAATAAATTGTTTAGCACAGAGTATGAAACCCAGTAGAAATCAATGTGTATTATATGTTTCGTCATACAGTAACCACAAATAATTATTCTTTTCCTCTTGGGAAGAATTGTGAAGACAGGAAGCATTTTGTGTTAAGGTTACTTAGTATTCATTTTTCTTTTTGCCTTTGGACATAAACTGTCACAACAGCAAAAAACATTAAGCCCATGTATGTAAAATCATGACATTTTTGATGACTGAGAGTACCAAATTATAAAATAATGGCTTCCTTCCAAACATTCCATAACAACTAGTATTTCTCTCCTTGTAGATTTTTCATCGTTTTTTAAAGTTCAGTGTCGTGTTCTTAGTAGTATACCCTCACAGTAAACCTCAAAGTCAGCAAATAGTATTTGGCAAATTAAAAGGATTTCTTACAAACAGAAATTTACCATAAAATGAAGACTTCAAAGCATCACCCCATTTCAAATTGAAATATTTTTTTCTATCAGAAATGTTATTAATCATGGGCTATTTCTCATTAAAGTTGAAGTATAAAGTTAAGAGTAATTTTAGAAGACTGGGTTATATATAAAATCATTTTCAAATTGAAAAGGAAAATTTCCCTATCTTTAAATTTATAAACACATATGTAAATCTATAAAAGAGTTACTTCATGCCAAACAAAATTAACTTACAGGAAAGGTGTTGGGGATACAAGAGTTACAGTAACGCAAGTGAAGATCATATAGTTGTGTTTTAAAAGGTAAAAGGTACCTGTAAAGTTATTCAACAAGCATCTAGGAGAAAGAAACAAGTTTGTAGGAGAGTGTGCACAATAGGATTACATTTGCGTTTGTGCATTTTATAGGTATATACAAGTTTTCTTGCATACCAAAATTTTTTCAAAGATCATTCAAGAATCATAATCACATTCCACGATAATATAATTAAGAAAACCAAGTTTCTATCAATTTAGTATTTGATCATATGGAAACTGAAATGAACTTTTTAAAAACAGTATTTTAAATGCATACAAAAATGGTAGATTTAAAACCCCAAGGGGTCCTGTCATTATTCAAGGGACCTGATAGAGAGGTAGTCACATAAACTTTCCTTAGTACGCTGTCAGTGAACTTTAAATGGAAGAAAAGTTGATTGATCGGAAAGACAAAATACTTGCTTAAAGGATGTTTCTTAAAAATCCAAATGTTTAATATTTATGTTGCTTTCATTACCATGTACATTAAAAAATAGAGGAAAAGCTCTGATTTATATTAGCATTAGAAAAAAATTTACAGAAAAAAAATTTACAGAAATTTACCTTTTGCTTTAATTTATGTGCCCAACCATATGAAGAACTAAGATAACTGAGCTCTTCTACAAAATGACTAAAGTAAACTTGGTAGAGTAACAATGTAACCTGGTAGTTGTTCTCTCTATTCTCTTGACAATTATATGAAAAATTAAATGTTTGAATTGGCAACCAAGACAGCAGGGGGAAAAAATCCTTCTGAATATTCCCTCCAAAATGGCTCTGTAGATAAGAAGAATAGATTTAAATATACAAATTCTTTATTTAGATCATGGAACATACAATTTTCTCTTTTGTTAAAAAGGGACAAAAGAATATCTAACATCACATTATATTATGTAAAATAGGCATATAACCACCTTTTATCAGATTGTTTTTAATTACTCTATTAATATATTTTATTATCTAAGAATAACTGACCAAAAGACAGAAGTACAAAGTAGGACTGGTTCTGCCATTTCTTAGCTGAAAACTGTGGCCAGTCACTGAATGTCTCTGACCATGTTTCCCCTAATTTTATTAGCTCTAAGGTCCTTTTTAAAGTACAAATATCTTATTGGTTTTATGACAAGAAAAATACATCAAGTAAGAAACACTGTTTATTTGCTAACTCTCAATTTTTTTGTGACAGCAAAGAATGTCAAGGGAGAGACAGGTAAATTTCACACAGAATTATTAAAATTATGTAGCCCGGCCCTCCCTGGTGGGGCAGTGGGTTAAAGCACAGCACTAAGAAGATAAAGCCACTTCCGCAAGAATTCGATCCCCACCTGCCCCGGACGTGATCCACATGGCGTGGCAGACCTCTCCTGACCCGCCTGCTGCTCCCCTCAACAGTGTACTTTGTTGATCTGCCTGTTCTGCTCCCCACTCTGTCTCTGGTGAATCCTCTCACCGCCCCTGCACCTCTGGCCTGTACTCAGTTCTGTATGAATAAATAAATGAAAAAATCTTTAAAAAAAAAATGTAGCCCTACCCTGAACGTTATTAAAAGAGAACCATACTACTGTCCTTAAGGTTTCTATACACAGACCTTTTTCTGCAGGAGTGGACTTCTTAATTGGCTTAAATTACTCATTTCACATTACAGGATCTTTTTGTGGTGTTATGTGGAGAACTACCAAGCACCCTCTCACTTAAATGCACTTTCATTCTCTTCTGAAAAAATTCTGAAATATGGTCTTAGTTATATGCCTTTCATAGTAGTAAAATTTCTTTGTTTCAAAGTATGTTTTTAAATTAATAAGCTAAAAGATGTTTACCTTTGGCAGCATGGGAGTATCCCTTTTCTTCTTCTTTTCAGAATTAGGGTCATCTAACAAGTCTGGCTCAAAGGTATAAAGTTCAGTAAGCTCATTCATGGTAAAATGACGTTCAACCTGCTGCTGATCAACAACTCGAAAAGACAATGATTGCTTAGTTACTTGCCGGTCGTAAATCTTATCTTCCATGGTTCCCTTTATAAAAATAAGGAGCAATACACAAATAAAATTTTATCAGTATAAAACTTTATCAAAAAGAAATAGTTAATAGTTAATAGTTAATGGCAAAATTTCATACTAATAATACTAATACACTGTTTTAAAAGCAAACTTGGAAATGCTGCTTAATATTGAGATTTCATCTGTTCATTGACATTTATCTTGATAAAAATACATTAATGATAGTCATTCTATATTATCTGACTAATAGGCATTAATGTTTTTTATATATTTCTGTAATTGGTTAAGTAGGAGAACATTTAGATATTAAACTAGACAGAAATAGTACATGAAATAAGATTTTAGGAATTAGTGGTTTTAATGCAAAAGAGCAATTTCTATTGCAATAGAATAAGCTTTCAACAATCACTATAAGCTGTCTATATCAGGTTTTGATATATTTCAGGATAGAAAGTGATTAATTAAAATGCCATATCTATTACACACACAAACACATATGCTACAATATTATAGAGGAACTCAATGGAAATAATAGTAAAGAGTTTACAGTATAGTTTGTCAACCATATTATATATTAAAGAAGATCAAACAAACAAGGATATACCAATAAACCCCATCTCACATTGAGAAACCCATGTATTATAGGAAGATGGAAAGAGTAACATCTGTGCCCAAAGCACATGTGTCACATAAAAGAGCAACTTGAATCTAGAAATGTAAGCCGGAGAAAGCTGTTATTATTGACATGGAGGAGTTAAAAAATATAAAATCAAGAGAGGCTATGACTTCTGCTGCTTTCTTAATATAGGAATATTGTTTTTAACTTTGTTGCTTCTCTAAAATGCACATTTTATGTTCCATATTCCAAAAATATTATCAGATTAAATAAGAAAAAGAATATAAGTTATAAACCTACCTGAGCTAAGAACCTATATACATATACAGGTTTAGTCTGCCCAAAGCGATAAACTCTGAATATACTCTGGATGTCGTAAGATGGATTCCAAGAAGCATCAAATATAATCACTCGATTAGCAGCTACCAGATTTATTCCAAGAGATCCTGCTTTGGTAGAAATGATAAACAACCGTCCTCTAAAAATGAAAATATAGAATAATGAGATAAAATACAGTAAAAAGTTTCACAATATTTCTCGAATTTCTAAGGAGTTAAGAGAATGCATTATCCATCTACTGAAGAAAGACATGCATAAACAATCAGCTTCATGATTTATATATCATCAAAAAGAACCTTATTACTGAAAATTGAAACTCTATGGCTTAGGAATAAAAAATATGGAAACTATGCATTTGTAATATATTCAAGGCATTTACAGATATTTCTGGGTAAATGTAAAAAATCTTAGGTATAATTCAAAATTCAAAATGTGTCTAGTACTAGTGTAAGGACTAAGTACAATGTACAAGCAGCAGAGTGTACTAGGTGTAACTGATACACAATTATAACTTAAACAATGTACCGAGAAAAGTTAGATACAAGGTACTGAGGAAGCTAATATAGGATAAAAAATACAGGACTACAGGAAGGATGTGTTCAAGAAAAACAAAAATCATGAAACTGAATGATGACCTGCTTTATAGGAACACAAGTACTTATATTTCTTTAGGATAATTTGGGAATGAATTAGTGATAAGTTCATTTTTAAAAAACTAAGAAAACAGTCAAAACAAATCAATTATTTCAATAAAAATAAACAGGTATACAAAAAAAATAAAATGTAATAATTATTTTAAATGGCTTCAGTGTGAATATTTACATGGTCACAATAAAACAAAAACTAATTTAGGAAAATATTGTGTAGAAATTGGGGAAAATGAACAAGGAAAATTGTGTGTATAGTAGGTAAATTCCTACTCGACAGCTGAAAGGATATATGCACAAAAATACCAAAATAACAACCAAGAGGTGAAATTGGTTATCTGCAGAGCTGATGTCAAAGTAGGTAAAGATTAGTCAAAGACTAGTTGTTATTCGAAGTCTTTTAACATTTTTAATATGTAAATACATTATTTTGATATAAATAGAAGTTTCACTTAAAAAGAAAATATATAACATTTGTTGAAACTTAAGCAACTTCAATGAAAAAATTACTCAGCTCCACTTTCCAGGAAAAAACCTTCATTCAAACCATGGTACATTCCTAAAAGCTTCTTTTCTCTAAGCATAGACACTTTCGTTTTTATATGGACTACATTTGTGTATTAGTTTATATTAGATTTTTCTGAAATATCTTGGTAAACACATGCCTGGTAGCATAACATTCTATTATATGACTACATATTTATTGTTGGCTACCACCTGCACAAAATGCCTTAATACCAAGTCTTACTTTCTATAATTTCCTCACAGAAAATTAATAACTAATGTCATACAAGTATAGTTTTTTAAGCGAGGATGCAAGGAAACTCAAAATTTAAATAAAATAATTTACATCAAGGAAAATCTAGATAATGAACAGAAGTATTAAATTAATACTTTATATCAATGTGGAGTTACCACATAGTTTGAATTACAGATTATAAAAATTATCAGAAAAACAAAAAAAAATCACAGTATTTTTAATATGGTTTAAAATAAAAAAAATACAAAGATGACTAAATTACACTCTAGCTACTAAATGGGTTCCATAACCATAAAAACTGCAATACTATGTTACTTGGGACAAAAAAGCAACATATAAACTTATTGAGTATTAGGTGCAGCTCAACCCACAACACTGAGGAGTAGGAAATTTTGATAAAACTCTTCCCTAATTACAACTAGGAGAAACTAAATTTTGCTCACTGAAATATCACCAGTCCACCAGCAATAGGAAACTGACCTACAGGTGTTTTCCTCTAAGGATCACTTCTAAGGTCACTGTGGGGGAAGGAATAGAAAGTGGCCATGTTAAGTCAGTCAAGCTAGGCAACAAACAGTGTAGCATAGAATCAGACACTAGAACCTTCTCAGTGAGTGGGTAGTGCAGACCTTTTAGTACATGGGCACAGGGATCTTTGGTTAATTCATAAAAAATCAGGCTACCAGCAACTAGATGGCAGAAACCCTCCCCTCTCTCTGCTGGGAAACTGGAAAGAAACCTGTTGTGCTCTAATGAAAGGAATGGCAAAAACGCTAAGCACTAGGATTTGGGTTTCAAAGCAGTAAAAAGTGCTTGAACTGGACCCAAGAGGAGAAGAGATGGTATAAAACTCTCTACCTGAATAGCCCATCCATCCCTACCAGCACTAACATCAATTCCTTAAAATCCAATTTCCCATACTTTCCTCACCTGCTGTCAAGTTAAATGAAGATTAAAAAAAAAAAGACACATCATTCTAACTAGTAAAATAAACAAACAAACAAACAAATAAATAAAAACACTAGGCAATACACATGCCTAGGAAACAAGAAACTTATGAATATAATGAAGTAAAGTTGAAAGAAAATACAAGTTATGACACCTACAAAAGGACAAAGAATTCAGGGACCAAACAGACAACTTTTAGAATATCAATCCCAAAGAAACTCAATGAAGTCAACAGAAGTGCAATCAAACACAGAAAATAAGGTTATGGATGTTAGGGAAAATAAGTTTCATAAGTAAAACTATAGCGATTAAACATTTTTTTTAAAGTACAAAGAGACACTAAATGAAATGTGACCATACAAAGCATATTGAGTACACTTAAGCTGGTAAAGGACAGAAGATTTAGAAATAACGAAGAAACTATATCAGACTGCATTAGAAAAGGAAACAAAAGACAATGGGTATACCAGAAGTGAAGAGGGAGGGAAGGGAGCAGTGACACTATTCAAAGTAGCAATAGCTAAGAACCTTCCAAACCTAAGAAAATAATTGAACTTGGATACCCAAGAAAGCAAAAGAACAGTCAAATTTCTAAATGTAAAAACAACCTTTACCAAGATATATCATTATCTAAAGTGAAATAAAAGGAAAAATATTAAAAGTTGTTAGAGAAAATACAACATACAAAGACACTTTGATTTTCATCACTTTCCCTTTTTTTAAACTTAAAAAAAAAAAAGATTTATTTATTTATACATACAGAACTGGGGTACAGGCCAGAGGTGCAGGGGGTGAGAGGATTCACCAGAGACAGTGGGGAAACAGAACGGGCAGATTGACTGAAACACACCGATGAGGGGAGCAGTGGGCAGATCAGGAGAGTTCTGCCACACTATGTGGGTCACACCCCTGGGCCAGAGATTGAACGTGTAGTGTCTTCAATAGCATCTTAGTGCTGTGCTTTAATCTGTTTTGCCACCAAGGAGGTTTCAAGATTTTCATCACTTTTCTCAGCAAATATTCTCAGTGCTAGAGAGTGGGATGATACATTTACAACTCTAAAATAAAAAACTGCAAGTCAAGAGTATTCTGCTTAGCAAAATTATCCTTCAAAAACGATGGAGAAATAATGGGTCTCTCACAACAAACAAAAGGTAATGGAGTTAACTGCCACTGTATTTTGCCTACAATACTGAAAAGAGTTATTCTACATAAAAGCTAGAACCCAAAAGTAGACAATACCTTCACCAAGGTGATAAATAATACTATAGAATTTTATGTATAAACAAGAAAAATGTGAGACACAACAAAACTTTAAAGGGGACGAAGAATAGGACAGAATCTGTATAGTCAAATGAAAATGAGACAATATTAGCATTAAAAGAAATATTTTAGAATATTCCTAACAAAAACCTAGACCAAAGACACTTACAAGAAATGAAAAAACTAACAGAACTGCCAATGGAGAGCAATACAAATGAAAAAGAGGACAGAAACACAAGGTAAGAAAAACAACAGAAAGATAAAAAGAACCCAAACCAACAGAATGGGAGTAAATAAGCCCCACATATCAATTATCATTGTAAACATAAGTGGCTGAACCAAGCAATTAAAAGACAAACAACAATAGGTTGACTGAAAGAGCATGACCCATCTCTGTCATGCATACAAAAGTCTCACATTATATCTAAAGACAAAAAAAGTGAAAGGCTGGAGCAATGTATTTCAGGCTAGTAACACACACACACAAAGCAGGAACTGCTATCTTTACCTGACAAAATTAGATTTTTAGCCAAAAAAGGTAATCACTGAACAAGATGGGCACTATATAATGCTCAAAAGAATAATTTATCATGAAATATATCTGACATTAATATTACACATCCAGCATAAGTTCACCCAAATATATAAAGCAACTATTGACAGACCTAAAGCAACCCACTGACAGCAACACAATAGCAGTAGGGCATTCCAACATACCACTTCCTCCACTTCCAGTGGATAGATCAACCAGAAGAAATTAAGAAAGGAAAATAATGGCCTCAAACAAAATAATAGATGGGATGCAAATCACAGACATTTACAGAGCTGCTATGGCAAAATAAGTGAATACATTCTTCTCAAGTATACGTGGAACACTCTCAAGGTTAGAGTATATGCTGGGATGTAAAACATGCTTCAAAGAAATAAAGGAAATTGAAATTATATCAAGCATCCTTACAGATCACAACTGTGTAAAGGCACAAATGAACCACAAGAAAACTGGAAAAAGTCCAAATGAGATTAAACTAAATATTGTTGAATAACTCCTTGTCAGTGCAGAAATAAAAGTAGAAATAATAAAGTATCTGGAGATGAAAATTAAGAAAGAAGCTACTGAACATTCAAAGGTATACTAAAAGCAATATTAAGAGAGAAGGACATAGCAATACAGATTCACAGCAATTAGCAAGGAAAGTCTCAAATGACCTAATTTCATAACTAAAGGAACCAGAAAAATAAAACCAAAATCGGTAAAAGAAAATATTAAAAATTAGAGAAATAAATGAAACAAAAACCTACAAGATGTAAATGGTCAACATTACCAATAGCTGTTTCTTTGAACTGATAATCCTTACCTATGCTCACTAAGAGGGGGAAAAAATGAAAAGAATCAGAAATAAGGAATAAAAGAAGCAAAATTACAGAAGCGTAGTTACACAAAAGATCATAATAAATCATGATGAAAATCTCTATGCAAATAATTGGACAATATAGAAAATTTGGGGAAAAAATTTTAGAACC